CAGAATGTCAAGACATTGCTCCTGCCCAAGAGCAGTGTGCTTGTAACAGCGGATGCCCTGAAGAGTTACAGAATGTCATCAACATAATACAAAATTATACAGAATACAGAATTCATGTTATACGGAATTCATCAACATACAGCTCACGAGTGAATAAAACATACGCATCACTCACAATAATTTTGGTTCAGCAGTAGGAGTCCTCTAATACTTTAACCATTGTGAGTTTAATAAGAATGCATCGCATGATGGGAAAGAAAAGCACGGAAGTTACATGAGTGAAAAATCTTACCAAGTCCATAAGGGAATATTGAAATTTTATGAAGGGTTTGTATTAGAAACAGTACGACAAGAAGGAATAGTCAATAACCCCCGCCTATCCTCTTTGTTATCAAAATCACCTGAATATAAATGTAGCGGCTGGAAATGCATTTACCAGCGAGAGCATCTAAAAATCACTCAAAACTATAGCACAAAATGGAATGATTATGGAAATAAACGTCTCCCTGAATATCAATTCAAAAGTAAGAAATCAGAGAGGTAGCCTGGATTATTACTACACTCCAGTACCCTTATCAAATGACTTTATTACTAGAACCAGAATCCCCATCTTATCCTCTTTCAAATTGAAAGAAGATACCCTATAAAACCCTTTACAAGAAGTACAAGCTGAATTACTTGAATCTAGTGTTAACTCTGCATGTAAGACACGTTGAACATTGTTCTAGAGTCTTTTAAGTATAAGAAGCATGACAATGATGTACTTGTGAAGGATGGATTTAGTGCATGACATGATAGGATAGATGAAAATAGTAATAAATGAGTGACAACCTTGTAATTGAGTGACACCGCATGGAACTTCCAAGGAACTGCGTTAGTGCTCACCTCAGATAGCCGAACACTATTGACTATAGATAACCTCTTAAAAGAACAGTGTACATACATCTGCAGACTATCACCCAAGGCTCGTATTGCACAAACTGAGCCTTTGAACTAGTTGGAAACGATGAAAAATTCCCTGGGCGAAGCTGGGTCTACATAACATCTTGTCAACTCTCCTGTGAATTCTTGCATGAGCGTCAAACTCACTACTTTCTTACCGCCAGAAGTATCATGAACTACCTTCACGTCGAATGCCCTGGTTCAGTTCTAGTCTCTCTCATGAATAGATGATCGCAGTATTTGGACATCGAGTCGAAAGCAGGGAAGGTGAGACCATCACGTTGTGCAAAGATCTGATTCAGTGAACACTTGGACCACAAGCTGTATCTACACTGCAGATAGAAGGACACTCCTCAAAGCACTAGCGATTCGTTATTCGAATGAAGGTAACCTGCTTCGCGGCGAGCTATCCTCCTCTACAGCGCTCTTGTAGGAGGTGAGAATTGTCATCACAAGGAAGACCCTCGAGATCCCTATGGACAGACCTAGAGCAGAATTTCTCATCCCGAGATCTCCTCTCTCTCTGGTCATCTTCACTTGCGCTTTCTGCCCACTGATTTGGAACTACGTCGTCTACATAATACTCTTTTGTAGTATATAATCCAGCTCTTGAGCAGCGCAACATCATCGAGACTTCAATTGTGCAGGATTGGAATAAGCAATCTTATCAGGAGTAGTATGAATTAGTTTATCCTCCCAGAGAATCATGTTGATGTCGCATTCAGTGAGTAGGATGATGTTGAGAAAAAGGAGGAAAAGGAAGGATACAACAAGATGACTGGATGAATCAGAGAAATATTTTTAAGAGAAGCATAAAGCCATTGCTGCAAGCAAAGTTGAAGAAAGAAATAACATTTGCAAGCTCCGGATCTCTAGCCAGTTTCTAGTGGAGATCACAATGCCTGAACTGAAGAAGCTCTTGCAGAATGGAAAAATAAAAAACGTCGGGCAGACATCCACCATTCAGCGCATCCCATCACAGCCGTCAAGCTGGAATACTGGCTTTGTTATAGGCATGTTAAGAACCAAATCGTCACACTCCGTGGAATGCCCAATGTCAATGAGAAAGTGTTTATATATTTTTACTACACATAACAACAATAGATCGGAGTCAGCGGAGACGACTGAACTTACTCGACAAACATTTGTAAAGAATTTGCATGATGAGCACTCACCAGCATATTCAAGAACTGAGAATCTTGTCAATGTGACATCGAATTATGTGCAGTAATTTTTCCACGAGGTTGTCTAGTTGTAATCCAGTAGCACAATCCAGCAGCACTCCAACTTCTTCAGGGCATATGCTTCTTCTCTGGTACAAGCAACATGGTATCAATCAGTGTGTTTCTTGACATCCCGTAATTGCACTAGTTAGTTTTTTGAAAATTGTAGAAACTCAATCTAAACTAAACCCTTAGAATCAAATTACTCACTTTGAAGAAATACAATCGAAGTTGACGCAGGTCTACGTTCATGAAAGAACAAAATGATCCTGACCTAAGAAGCAAAATCAATCATTTCTCTAGAACAAAATTTTACATTGTTGTGTTTCTGCAAAAACTTTGTCAAAGTAGTTGGAACGCGGACGTAAGCAACCAAACCTTTGATCAGTTCATTTACTCCACTATCTGTAAAACGGGAATATGCGTATATTTTGATGTTATATTTATGAATTATACGTATGTACATACGTATAAATCATATATATGTACATACGGGCATGCCCCATATAAAAAATGTAAATGAGGCATGCCCTTGCCCGGGGGCATGCCTTTTTGGTTGTGCCTCCAACCCTAGCTACCACAGGCATCGCCTGTTGCCCCGCAATGGTACTCTCCACGTCCGCCACCACTTGATCTATAAGTTACTACTTGATCAATGGGTTCCACCGCCGTCTCTGCTAACTTTGCGGGTACATCCGAAGTCTTCTTACCCGAAGGCTTTTTATCCTCTGTCAAAGTCACGAATGGTTGCTCCGAAGGCGATAGACTCTGACTCGAAGTCTCTACCTCCGTATCACCTCCTTGTTCTTCTCCTTAATCCAACGTGCCATCCATGAGCACCGCTAAAGGTTTCCACTCCGAAAGCCGAAGGTACTTCACCAAAGACCATTTTTCCTCTGTTGCTAATATTTTCATTTCTATCTCTGCCCATTCCGCCAAAGTTATCCGGCCTTAAGATGCTGCTTCACTACACTCCGTGCTACCTTTTTTCTCAATCTGCAACCATCGCGACTTCATCTTGCTAAGAGCACGCACATTTGCCGATCTCATCTTCGTAGGGATCGACCTTCGGACCCGCAATCCGGCACGTTGATCAATTATCTCCGAAATCGTAACTCGCTGCAATTTCCTCTTCTTCTTCGGGCGTTCCTCAATCTCGTCCTTCAACTTGTCGGCTTCGGCCGAAGGCAATGCAAGTGCAATGTCGTCCTACTCGTTGGCAACTTCTTTGACTCCCAACGTCCCTTCGTCGTCCACAATCTCCTTCTCGAGCAAAATTTTCTTCTACTCAACTACAGTCAACAACCTCATCCCTCGGTAGAAATTGATGAAGAACGGGATAGATAGTTCACTGATACCCCGAGTACCTCGCCAATGTGCTAGCGTGTAGTGCCCCATAGAATGTGTGTCCATTAGATATGTTTCTCTGCCACCGATCGCTCCACAATTCCAACCTGCCATGTCAACATGTAAATCGTTCGCAAAAGCCGTAGAATCTGCATCAAGGCCATTGCTACATTCCTATGCATCTGATCACGGTACTCCGCCGTCCATTATCCGTTATTGTGCGAACGATTCTTCTTGAACAACTGCGCGAAAGTCTTCTCTTCCGCGTGGATGACCTTCACACTATCACTATGGAAGGTGTAATCTTCATCTTTTTCTACGCACTGTCCCAAGACTTTTGCCCAATACTTAATGATCCAGATCGTCGGATTGTCACAAAGTCTTTCATCGTCCAGCGCGCTTCCGTTGTGCCACTCCTTCACCATTGCCGCGCAAACCCAATTCCATCCCCACAGCAAGAAATTGAGCTTGACAACTAACAGCTGATTGATATACGTTCTCAATCCGAATTTCGGCATCTTCAATGCTGACAATCACCGAATACGCGAGTGTAAGGGCAAAAGGAAATTTTTTCCGTTGGCCTTGCAGGCGCGCAAAACACGTGGGTTGGTTTTTTTTGTTGCTTGATGGATTCGCATTGTCTCGCTGCAAGTCTCAAAGTTCGCCCATCGCTGCGTTCTCAATTTCTCACTCATGTACCTCATTGAGCTCCCAATTTGCAAATGCACTTTCGCGAAATATCGATGCTAAACTCTTGTTTCTGCCAATGTAATTCGACACTCTAACTGCATCGTAAACTTACACAAATTTACAGTACAAGTGTTTGAATTTCCCTCCCGTTCCGCGCCGCCTTTCATTTCGCCGAAGATCCTTTTGCTGTAACCCCGAGGTAACTATCGTCGAAATCCGAAGATTCTTCCCCGAAGACGATACCGTGACTTCGTCGAACCATGCCCTCCATTGCCTACTTTCGTAACTTAGGATTCTCTTATTCGTTTTCAGTGATCTCCAGCTTATTGGAAAGAGCACGCCAAGCTCTACCTACTAAGGTCCTATCTATCCACTACTCTTACTGAAAGTCTACTCCAGAATCCACTATTAACTCTTGTGTATTCCTATTCTATAGATTTGAAATTATTAGTCTTCTATTTTTCAAACTTTGTCTTTCGAAAAAATATCAAAAACTACATTAACATAACAACCATTCATGGCTGATTATTAACTGTACACAATGGACACGGTCATTATTTGCGGATCGTGGAAAAACAGATTACATCTTGATTTATATCCCATGAGTGTATAAGTTGGGATCAGTATGTTTCATATGTATATAATGATACTGATAAAATGTAGATCGAAGATAAAAGACACATTTCAACGCTCCAGGTACAAAAGACTATCACACTGATTTGTGTGTGTTAGTGTGATCCGTCACCCAGAAATCAGGAAAAGCCATGAATGTGATTGTGTAGACCAAGGTAGGAGCCTGGAATCAAGATGTTTCGCGCTGTTCCTCTCAGAACCGTGTGAATCTCTTCATGTATTCACATTTCCACGGTTGAATAATTTGGTAGCTGTAGAAATAGATGATGTTCATAGAGTACAGATGCAAATTCTTTGGAAGCTTGGGCGCTCAGCATGATCCGCTGAACTGACGCTTACAAGGGTCACAAGGGCAGAAGGCCCTTGTAAAAGTAATTAGAACAAGCCGTAATGGCTACTCCTTCTGAGGAAATACAGTAGCCGAGCTAGTCCACCAGTAAGCTTGGATATATGGAACTTTGGAGTACTGTTACAAGCTCTGAAGCTAATGTTTGCACAAATGTTTATTTGTCCAGATCTCAGGCGTGAAGTCCATCTCAATCCGGAGACAAACTGTGAGACAGTCTGTCAGTCTGTCCTTCACAATGTAATGGATGGCAGGGACCAAATCCCATGTCCTACAACTTGCACAACGGTATCTAGAATACCGTTATCTTTGGTTGGTATCTACAGTACGACCACCAAAACTATCTCGACAAAACTGCCCGAAGGTCTCTATCAGTGACTTCTTGCCATATCTAAACGAGAATGATATTTCTAGTTATAATTACATACTGCACAAATCCCGCCGATAGCTCCAACTCTGTTGCTATCCAGCCTGAAATGATAACATTTTCGTGTTTCCTGAGATCTTTCCTATTTCCCTCCGACTACCAATCCGGCCTCGTAATTACTCAATCTCAGGATCATCTCGAGATGCTGGTTTATTGGGGCTTGGTCTCCTCTTATGCGTGAGGCGAAGCCCAGGGGCCGAAAACGTGAACCACTTTGTAAGTTACTTCAAATTGAACATGGAAGAATTGGATAAACCAGCTGCCAGCATCACGTTCTCAACCGTGGCCGGAGCGCTCAGACTACAATAGCCATTGACACCAAATTCTGTCCTCGCAGCTGCGACGGCACGCCTTACAGCAAACAGGGCGCTGCAGATTGGAAGTCATTGTTAGTAACTTGTACTACACATGAGTAATTGAGCACTACTAAGAGGCAAAACAGGAACAACCTGTCCAACGCTCAAGTGAGAAGACATACCTCGCTGCTAGACCATACGGCGGCTCCCCAGAAAACTGCACGACAGAACGTCAAGGAATCAATTCAGTTAGGGGCTTCAATCGGTCCGCCATTCTAGCAGTGAGAAGCTGATTGTTTCAAGTGTCTAGAAGAGCTCGGAGACGATAGATTGGCTAGGATCAATAGAGATGATGCACTTCTGAGTTCACTGCGTCAGGGATAGGTGGGCAAAGAGAAGCCCTCTATATATAAGCTAAGAAAACTCAGTCATCAGAACATCTGCAAGTGGCGAGGGTGGCCACAGATTTGTACCTTGGATCGCAAAACTCCGCTGGAGTTTCCGCTATTTTCGAGCAAAGAAGCTCTCAAGTCGAGAGGAATATCTTTGGAAGACGGTGGTTTGTACTCCCAGGTACCGTCGGTCAAAAGCTGGAGAGTAGCGAGACAACAATCTGCCGAATTAGCACACGCATGATGATTCAAGGACCCTACATTTTTTCCAGGGTAAAATATTTTCATACCCAGAAATAAGTGTAGCTCTTAGGTGAGGTACCTTTCCAGAGTCACGATCGAAGAGAAACTCTTCATGTAGGAAGTATCCAAGTCCTTGGACGTACGCTCCTTGTACCTGATAGCAACACAAGAATTCAAAGTTTTGGCACATAATTTATTCAACCTCAACATCCTCAACTCCATACAAATCCAGCTTCTTGATGTGAAGTATTCTTTTGGGTATTCCTATTCCCAGTTCTGAAATTATCAACTGTGTAGGCAACTGATTATATGTCCTCCACATATATCACTAGCAATGCAGGATGCTCCTATTGAATCTCCTGAGTAGCCATAAATTCCTCTAATTCCCCCTCACACTCAAGTGGGCAATAAAAATATTACCACTCCCTACACTTGACCTGATAACAACTCATAAATCAACTAGAGTGCTAACTCCAACCCAACTTTCCTATTAATCCAACATTCAAAGGTGTGGTCAATATATGAGGAGAAAATCAATGACAAGGTGTGTACTTTGACCAAATCGAAGTGTATTTTGACTTGTCTTCTTTACAAACATACTAGCAATATACAGGAGTTAAGACCTAGTCTCAATGGCAGCTAAACACTACTTAAGAGTATATTAGTGTCTAATTGAGGTGACCGATAATAATTAGTTTATACGATTTACGGTTACTATTACAGATAGAAAGAAACTGACTTTGGGATTAACACTAACTCATCCGTAACCCAGGCTATGACATGCAAATCCTAATGAGTAAAGTTTCTGTAGATGTTTTCGCTGTGGAGCTAAACGTGAATGTTTTAAGAAGGAAAACATCCTACACTAACATACACAAGCTATAAGACGTTCTGCTATGAGATTTAACGTGGAGGTTACCTGTCCAATATCGACTGCAGGATTCAAACTCTTTCCGCAGTCGAGTAGCAAATCAGACCTCAACACTTTTACCTCCCCTGTAATTGAAAGACGAAAGGAAATCAGCGATAAACCATTTACAAAGAAGTAGAAACACCAAGACCTAAGAGATTTTTATAAGAGCTGTATTCACCTGTCAAACAGTCCACCTCCACCTCTGTTGCACCAGCACCAAATGCCAAATATCTGCAAACGCACCATGAGTTAACAAAAATGGCGAGTACAGAAAAAGCTACTACCTGTACATTTGTATCTGATCTTGCCGTTTACATCATCACAGACAATTGCAACTTCGTTCACGTGGTCATACAGAAGAGCATAAAGTGGATAAGAAGAAAACTGATCAATTGCAGCAGGCTAACAAGAACAAGACTACTTACTCGAAAGCTCCATCCTTGCCGGGACCAGCACAAAAACGACCTCGCGCCTGGAGGTCAGTAAACGAAGCTGCAGCTGTATTTATCAGCTCTACCCAAGTCGGTTTCTCTCCGTTGGCATTCTCTAATTTGTCAGCCACTACTTTAAGTTTCTTCAAAATTTGATTACAAGCATCCTGCAGAATGATGCCAGAAAAGAGCGTAAGAGGACCAAAGGATGATGTTGCTTTGGAAACTGGATGCATCGACTTTCAATTCGAACGATATACAGAGATGTTTTAGATACAATTAAATGATGCACCAGCAGTATAGAGTAAGTTGCAGTAAATGAACTTTCTGTAACTCAGGAGAAACTATGTCGGAAGAGATAAGCTTGCTACAACATAAAATGAAAATGTCTCATAACAAGTCCTTTAACGAACTTGGCTGTATATATACTCATTTAATGAAAGTAGTCTCTTCAAAACAGAAAACTATCTACAAGTATTTGAGGAGAATACCAGAACGGCCCCGGCCGCTAGTTCCGAGGTTACTGAGCCTCCGGTAGATACAGTGTTATTGGCAACTATAGTCGTCGTTGGAAATATTCTTATATCCTGAGGATTGATACCATTCTTCGATAGGGATCCTAGCGCCATTGCTGCCACCTACAGACATTAGCAGTCACAAAGCACTTTCTGGTTACGAATTACTTGGACCTCGCATAGAACAGGAATTTTGAGATAAACCGGCCTAAAAAAACCGTCTGGAAGTTCTATTACCTGTGCAATTTTGATGTCAAGTCCTTGGCCAACTTCAACTCCGGAACCATGAATGCTAATACTCCCATCTGGATATATATTCACAAGAGCTGTATGTGCCTGTGAGTCGTAATAACCTACGAACTTGCATGGAACCATTCCTATACCCCTCTTGACCCACTGATTATTGATGTTGAATTCTTCGACTTGCTGCATTCTCTGTTCATAATCGCTGGATTTCTGGCCATACGCAGGCAAATCCACGAGAGCCTTTCAGTAAAGATGAAACATAACATAAAGCTGTTGAAACGCAGTACACACGACTGAGTCAGATGGATATAGCTGCAGGTCTGCGTAAGCTGAGGATGGTTGGTAAACTTACTTTCAAAGTAGCGAAGATGTGTTTCACATTACAAGTGGGAAGCAATTGGTTTTGATGAGTCCTATCACCATCAACATACATGATCATTTCACGAACAATATCAGGTCGAATATTGAGAACAGTTGCCGTGTGCTCTATTGCTGTTTCCACCATAAAGAGCATCTCAACAAATCCTGCAGGAAAAAAATTTAAACTCAGAAATTTTAATGATCGCTTCCTCTGCTGTTGAATATCCTACGTTAGATAATTAAGATGGCACGGGTTCTGCTTCACTGTAGGTATATCGAGCATGGTAGTTCAAGATTGAGTCATCTACAGATCTTGATGTAAGTTTTGCAGCTTTGAGCTGGTGCAAACTAAGATTTTATGTGAAATGTTTTGAGTTTCCCATTTATGCTAATCTAATAACTGCTACTGGAAACAATCTTGTAGAACCCTTGATTCGCCTTCGATGTAAGTACTTCGGACAATATGATGTTCAACTCGACAGAATGAATGTGCAACACAAGAGGCTAACACAGTTGCACACGATTTGAGACGGTCTACGAAAGATCTATTACGCCTTCCGTGTCAAATGTGACAGCAGGGAAGAATTAATAGTAATGGAACAATAATGGAACACTATACTAATTTCATTCACTACAGCTAATTGCGTCCAAATCTTAACTCCGCTAGAATGCTGGATGCTGTTAAGAAAAGGGCAGGTCAGATATTCACCAGGGCCTCTCATGTAAGTCATCGCTGGAAGGTTTGTCTTGGCAAGTTTTCCTACAAGAGTCCAGTTTGGAATTTTGTATGCACAATCCATCCAGACTACGAGTGTATCCATGGCTGGGTAATCAAAGTCAAAATGGGCTCCCTGCACAGACAAATTGAAAAACATGGAGTTTAATCTTACGTCGAGAATAACCGCAGACGCTCTGATTCCATACGCAACACAATACACCTGATGATACGAATGAACTCCTTAACACAAAGGAAATATTCAGTCAAAGTGTGACAGCATAGACTTCCGCGTTCTTTGAGTACTTGGTTCAGAGAAACTAAAGGCAATGGAGTGAGCACAGTTCACCTGCATGCGAAAACATGGACATCTACGTTGAGATATAATGTCGTCAGCTTGTTTATATGTTACTGGTTATTTTACATAGACAACATTCCCATAGAGGTTCACGTCAACTTTGGTTGAAGCACATCTCTAGGGAAATATTATAGAGGTCCTCAAAATCATCATTCTTCAAATCAGAGTTGCATGCATATGCGGCATATATGTAAGTCTGTGCATGTGTGTGTCTTACGAAGCCGGAGATAACACTTACCGTGTTGTTGTAGATCAAGAGCTGAATTGCCTTGATAAGCCCATCCTTTTGAGCACCGACCTTGTACTTGCACAAATATGGACTTCTCGCTCCAACAGACTGTCGAAGTAGTTTATTTAAAAAAATGTGTCAGTAACTATTCTTTGTTCTCAGTAATACTCCACTAGCTGATCATTATACCTCGAAATACTTAACTATTGGAAAAAAACAAGAGTTCCTTGCATAGGAGTCTTGCTTCGAAGTTAGTCTAAAGTGTTGCGCACTCGTCCTGCCAGATAAAGAAAGACAGAGTACGGTCCGTAAATGTAGACTTATGGTCGTCGATGTGTACTCAAACTCGTCCTTCTTAAGTAGGTGGTACAAACATGTAACAATTACAAACGCTCTCCCTACTTAAACCACTTTGGTCGTACCTGCATGTTGGTTGCGATATCAAGAACAAGTCGGACGGGCTTCTGCAGTTTGTCTGCGGCATATGAACAAGCCATGGCAACAGCAGTAGACCTGTAAATTTTCGCACCGTAAGCCCCTCCGACTCTCTTCACAACAACCTGCCAGAACAACCGACTGTCAATCTCCAAGGAGCTTCTTATAAAACATTTGAAGTTACAGTGGCTTGTCACTGTATCTCTGCTCACCAGACTATGCGCTAATTATTTTGTGCTCGGTAAAATGTAACTTGAGATCAACGTACAGAAGCGTTCCTATATCCTCCTGAAATCAGATGTCAACCACGAACTATTCCTTACCTCGATCTTCTGTTGTGGTTTGTTGAGTCCCACTCCTACACAATGTTGGATCTGAATTACAAAAATAGAGAAGAGTATTATTAGGTTCGATACATCTACATGGCCACACGGACTTACGAGAACCGGCCAAGTAGCTCTGGATTTTCAAAATGTAAGCAGCATCTTGGTTAATCATAACAACATAACAATATGCCTGCACTTGAAAGTTTCACTCAACGTCAGTTACAAAGCTAAGTCTACGATGTTACCACATGTCTAGCATTTTGTTCTAAGAAGGTCAAATGGGGCATGAACTTTACGAGAGAAGGATTCTGCGTGGAAGAGTAAACTTTGAGAGTGTGGTCTTCCCCTGGAATACACAGCGCTCTTTGAGTTTCTAGATGGAAATGGTACTGGTGACCGGTGCTGACCTGCCAAGAATCAAATCAGTTGTTTTAGTCATATATTTCTAGCATTTCTTGGAAACTTCTGATTTCTGAAATCTTCAACTTCTGAAATCAGAAGTTGAAGAGTAGGACCATCCACAGACTTTTGGAACCTTGATTCTAATCTCACTCGCTCAACAACTAAATCAATACAAATCCTACATTTCGCATAACGATGCTACACGAAAATCGGTCATATGTAACTTTATGATGGCATTGAGGTCACAAACCTCCCCTTCAATGATCACATCAGCCTCCTTAAAAGCTTCCTCCGTTGAACCTGCTCACAACGCATAAATCATGTAAGAAGATTATTAACAGGTCGAGACTTCCTGCCGTGCAAGACAACGGGCATCCCTTAAGCTTTCCTGGATATATTTCCAGTAAGAGGGGGAAAAGAAGTAGAAACTGAAGTAGCTACCATATTTGAAATCAGCTCCTCTTTCCGAAAACCAAGAATCTGCTGTCATTGCGTCTTCAATAGTGAGGATAGGTGGTTTCTGATCTGTGTATGTCACATCCACCAATTTGGAAGCAGCATCTGCTATTTCCTGGTAGAAGAGTGGAAAAAGTTTTAGCTCCATTGCATCTCAGATCTCTAAACGATCGAATTTTTATAACATGGTTTTTCAACTGGAATTCAACTGATGAGGTTAACTGTAAGATTTCAACTCATCACCTTGGAGGTTGCGACGATGAGACCCAAGGCTTGACCATAATACTTGACTTGGGTTGACGCAAAAACTTCTTCGTCCTCACTGAGATATGATCAGAATGATTAGAATAACATATGACGGTATGAAGATTATACTATTATCCAACTGGACACCCAAGCTCCACTTCCATTCTTCTCATGAAAACGCACAAAATATCTCCTCTTCCAAGTGTTGATGGATAAAGCGTGTTCACTGCCTTTACTTCGCCAAAAGAAGACAACATATATTTCAAGGTACGAGATTAAAAATAAGCACCATTAAAGCTAATCTACTGCCATCAGAAGTAGAACCATATGAAACGGGAAAGTAGAACCTCGTCGCGAAACTCATTAGGCCAACATCCTGATGTCTACCTTGCAAGGTTGCAGTATCCATCCGCAGCAATTGATGCAGCTGAGAGAAATGAAACGACTCCCTTCTTGGCGAGAGCTCGCGTAGGGTCGATATGCTTTATTTGAGCACTAGCAACAGTTGCTACCACAAGGGTGGAATGTAACTCCCCGGCGTAATCTACATCATCCAGGTATACAGCCTCTCCGGTTACCTGCACGAGAATTCGTTAGTAAACACATCTGAAGCACAAGAACCAGGGCCGCAAATATTATGTGAAACTGGAGAGTTAAGAAGATGCTTACCTGCAGAGCTGCTGAAGACTTTGAATACGGTTTTGATACAGGATACAGCGCTGGATCACCCTGTAAGAAGCCAAAAAAAAAAAGAAAACTTTTTACATTATATTTAAGTGAGCTTGAGTCTGACGGGGCTACTCTGTGACTGCTATGAAGAGTAGGCACAAGATGGGCCAGGACAGATATCACTGATGGATGACAAACTGTCTGAAATCAGTTCAACGAGTGAAGGTTCACAAACTAACCTCATCAAAAGACACTTGGCCAGTAGATATTTGCCGTTCCTCCTGCATTATAAGCAGGGCCATGGTCAAACCGTCTTCGTCGCAGCAAAGGAGAATTCAAATTGCGACGTTTGAATGAACACATACATTACAAGTTGTACAAGTTGGGCTACATCCAAAAGCGATTGCAACCTTTACCGTTTTACATCCGTATCTCTGGCGATTCACGATCTGCATCTTACAACAAGCAGCCCAAGTACATGCATAAAGGTAAGACGGACCAAATGCCTTGCTGTACATGTTGGAGAACTCACATTAAAAACTGCTGATCGCATACGTGGTGGGACTGAGCCAGGGGGCCTAAGTGCGAGCATTCCTTTGTAAAAGAAGGAAGCAAGCAAGGTGGCTTTGTACCCAGTACGTCCCAACGCGGGATCAAACACCATCTCGGAAGAAAGTATACTATAAGCTTGTCTCAAAACCTGTAAGCAGTCAAGAATAATAGGAGTTGCAACAGATCTGAATATTGGAGTTTCACCTTTGCACAATTCTATATACATCAAGAATCTCGAGTAACAGTGCAGGCGAAACTGCTCGAGGTGATTTACTTCAACAAAGATTGTTGACAGTGCAAGTAATAATATCATGATGACTACTAGGTTCGACTCGTGAAATCGAGATATCTAACATCTTGAACTTATCTAACGAGACAAATTTTCTGCATCTCGCAAAAATGCCCTTCTCGTGTACGACCAAACGACCTGATGTAGTTTGGAAATGAAATGGTACCTCCTGATTATAGCAACACTTTCCATCCAGAAATGCTTCAGTTCTGTAAGCTCGAACTGGATGCGGTTTCACACCACCGTACACTATGACGGGAGGCCTCGTGCACACTCCTAAACAGTTAAATTAGAGGAGCAGGAACACAATCAGTTGATATCAGACAGTTGCAAGTAGTGGTTAACTTAGCGGTTGTTCAAAAATTCGTCAACAAAGTCTTAAAGCATGAAATTCAACCCCTACATAAACATCTAGAAGAAAGTTGGTCATACAATCAGCAGTAGAGAACCTCCGTGAAACGAAAAGCAGACGAAAGTGGAAATTGAGTGGCATTGATCAACTCTGCGGTATCAACTAGTCACTACTAACAGAGACAAGAATAAGAAAATCTTTTTCGACTGGCTAATCTCAGTATAATCGACAAGTGTATCAAAGTACCAGTAGATTTCTCCATGTCGAACTTGAAGGCGGCATTCAGAAGTGCATGTGCATTCACTTTTCTGAGAGCCACTTTGTATGACTTAAACTGAGTTTGATATGTTCCATAAGGCAAGTGGATCTCTATTATCACCACACCCTGCAACGACATCTGGAAAAACTCCCACAGCCCCACAGTCTCTTCTGTTCCAAAAGTGTCCGCCATCCCCAATCTCAGGCGCACTTCGGCAGCCATGAAAATAGTTGCAATATCAGATGTGAAATCGCCATGCAAATTGCACAAAACGAGGTTGCCAGCGACAGACCCCACATTACGTACTTGAGGGTGAGCTACCTACATCAAACACAGTAGTCACTTCAGCAGACGCAATAAACTGTGGTTAACATCAGCACGGGTGCCCTCTGAGGCTCCTGCATCTACACAAGAATCATAGACACGAACCAGAGATAAAGCGCTCATAATGTTGAGCTGCAGATGTACCACGCACGTTATTCTACTCACTCTTTGTAGATGTGCCAGAAGAGGAGGGAAGGTGGGAGACAGATCGATATTGTTCTCGAGCACCACCATAAGATCCGTAATTGTGGCAGCCCCTCCGATAACAATCTGACTCTGGGTGACGGTGACTTTCGTAAGCTCTGGGACGCGGGAAATGTCTATGAGAACTTTGGCCTTGGGAGGGGGATATATTCCGGTTGTGGTATTGCCTCTGACCATTCTCACTCCTCCGCTGCACTTGGTCGACCGCAGGAGCTTGTAAAGTTGACTCAAGGAAGTAGCTCTTATCCAGGTGTGACCGCCTTTCGAGCAAGTCAATTTCGTGAGCTCTCCTCCGCATAGCTCTCTTCTGGAGCCACACTCCTCTATATCTAAAGGAACTCGGCCATCACAGCCACCACTGCGTCCCTCACAGCCTCTGCTCTTGCTTTGCGTGCTTTCACAAGAGAATGTCTGAAACGCGTCCAATATAGGTCTATATCCTGTGCATCTTCACAAATCAACATTCCAGATGATATGATTACTCTCACGTGACAGAATTGCTCAGGTGATACAAGCCACTCCGTCTTCGCATCACATATCAAAATGAACCGGAATGGCATGGATATACGTCAGGTATCTCTCTGCCTTGTGGGGGTACTTGACTGCCTTCGCAACAAGATTCGTCTCTAGGCTATAGTGAACCTGACACCAAAACAAACCATCGACATCCCTGAAGGTTAGTGTCCCGAAAAGTCACCTGCAAAGGTTGCCATCAATTCCGTTCTCCACTTGCTGGGGGGTCGGGTTGGGATTGTCTTTGAGCAATCCGTACATGCTCATGACCTGTAAATCGGAGTCAAAGCAATCATGTCAACTGCAAGCTCCAATAATTTGATTAGTTGTCACTGCAGGCAGTAAGTAGCCTTTGACTAGCGGCCTTCATCAAGCACTAAGAACAATGACTTTTCCGAGGCAAATTTGCCACAAGTCGAAACGGATAATCCTGCACATTCCCCAGACCTTGAAGATTCAGGAACCCATACAAACTAGTCCACGGGAAGTGGAGTACATATGAGACCTTCCTGATTATAACGTTGCAGGGTTCAAAGCAATGGACCCTCTCAAATCGGCTTGTAATCTTTCAGGATTGACAGATGGGTTTTTGGGATATTATGCATGCATGGATCCCCGATTCCGTGCAAGAGATTCTCACCAAGGGCAGGCCAGACGTTCAGACTCGGTATTGTAGTACGCCATAATGCAAAGATTGGCATTTACAGACAGCAGAAGACAATGGTCCTCGGCAGATTCTATGCGTCCTCTCTACTTTACTTGTGTAACTCGGTATCAAACAACTACAAATGTAACGAGCTTCATTCTTTGTCGTGGTTCATGGAAGCCAATCCTGTGGCGGAGCAATTGAGAACCAACATGGAGAAGTCTGTTGTTCCACATCGGAATCAGACAGCGAGCTAAAGCCGATGTAGAACACAATTCTACATCATGCAGGCGAAAACACAAAACTGCTGTTTAAAAATCTCCTTGTTTGGACATACAAGTCGCTCCGAAAACACAGGCTTCAAACCATGGTGCCATTCTTCCTCTCAATCCACGTAGCGTTTGCAGTCAAGCTTCAAATTCAGGCTTTACGTCCAATTCCCTGACAAATTTACGGATACTCATTACACCCTCTCGACATAGGAGATCCTGTTATCCACAGGACGGTCTCGATGAAAGGGCTATGAGTGCATGGATGGGCCCGAAGCCCAAGAAAACAAATCTAGGAACCGCACGGAGATTCCCACGTTCGTTCACCGCGAGGTGGCGAAGACGAAAGTGGATGGAACACAGGCCAGCTAGGCCGGATCGCAAAAATTGCTTTCGAGCATGTAGTCGAGGCTGTGGAGTAAACATCCCACGGAGAGCGAAAGGGGAGAGAATCGTATCCTGAGGCTTTGAAGTAAATTGACCCATGAGCTGAAAAGGGGATGGTTGTCAGGAGCTAATAAAGTAATCGAGAAAGCAGAGGCATGGAGTGGAGTGTAGGCGAGAATAAAAGTGTTGATACCATGCCAGGGGTGCAGAATCCGCACTGACTGCCGTTGCTCTGCATGAGCTGCTCCTGGACAGGATGGAGGCCTTTCTTGGTGGTCCCGACCCCCTCGACGGTCGTCACCACCATGCCATCGACGGAGCACAGAGGTCTCAAGCACGAATTCACGATTCGATGCACGGGCGCGTTCGCGGCTGCGCTGCCGAATTCGGGCGACGAGACGAGCACCGTGCAAGCCCCGCAGCCTCCCTGACGGCATGGCATCTGCAGCCCTTTCAGCCCCCGGTCCTGTCTCAGATAGTCCCCCAGACACTGCCTCGGGTCCGCGTTCTCCACGGACACGAGCTCCCCATTCAGCACGAAGCGGACCTGGGTCTCATTCTCCTCGACCTCGTCCATTCCAGGCATTGCGTCTCCGCCCCAAATCACCCAGTCCTCCCTCCCTCCCTCTCTCCCTCTCGGAATCTCCTTCAGAATCAGCGCGCACGACTGACTCACTGCCTGCTCGGTCTCCAACCCGTGAATTTCAATTTCACATGATTCCGCGCAGTCCAATGCTCTGATGCGCCCGGAGCTCCCTCCTGCGCGACGAAGCAGCGGAGCCTGGCGAAATGGCAGCCACTGTCAGCTGAGCTCGAGACGAGAGCTTTAGATATGCTCGCCCCTCTTCTTGCCTTCTCACCGGGCGAGCAGCCGGGCCACCTTATGGCCTCGAACCCGCTCGTCAGTGGCCAACACTGGGCGCAGCTCGAGGACACGCCGAGATGCGAATTCTTCGCCTCTTCAGATTCGCGACACGCGAGTCCTGCGCCTGGGGATGGGCGAGGCGAGGGCGAGGCGAGGCGACACAGGCCCGAATCCCGAGCCACTGAGAAGGAGGAGGAGGAGAAGCAGCAGCAGAAGCAGGGAGAGGGGAGAAGCCACCGACCGACTGCCTCGCACTGACTCACTGACTGACTCGCTGCCGCTGATCCACGTACCAACGAACTCCTGGACGCCTGCAGCAATTCCTCGCTGTCCACAACTCACCAGCGCTGGACTCTAGAGTAGCAGCACGAGCTCGCAATGGATCCTCTCGGACACCGGCGCCATCTCTTAGCGGATGTCTGTCTGTCTGTCCGTGTGTCCGCCTGTCCGCCTGTCCGGCCACATGAATCTGCCGGTGCCTCGGTCCCCACCTGGATGACGGATCCAGACGACCTCGGATCGCACCGGAATCCTCATCAGCTCTCTCTCGTTCTCTCTCGTTCTCGTTGGTGCTCGTGGAATCCACGAGTCGCGATGCCACTCGGGCAACGAACGAGGTGGCTCTCGTACCCCGCTGACGCCGGGCCAGAACGTATCTTCTTCCCCGGCAGTCGCGTAAGCCGAGCGTAAGCCGGGCTTGCGTCGTCGTCGGCCTTTGCGACCGTTGCCTTTTTTGCCTTTTTAGCCGCCCGCTCTCTCGCTTTTGACCGGGACCGCGCCTACGTGGCGGAAGCCGGTGGGTTCTCCGCTGCGACCGTGGTGTACTCTCGGGGCCCGGCCGGGATGCTGCGCCGATCCGCTGGATTGGGCGTCGCGCCTCTCGTACGGACTTTACCGACTCCGTGACGCGAGCCCGATTCGATCCGTTGCGCTCGCCCGTGACGCGCGAGGCCCGGGAGTTGGGGGCCCCCGGGCGGGGAGCCACTGCCGTTTGCCACCGGCGTTCTTGACCGAGCGGACGACCGTGTTCTTTGTACCCCAACGCCAACTGCTGAATCGCCGACGCCATCGTTCCCCTTCTCTTCCCTTCGCTGTGGCCAAGAACGATGCCGGATCTCGGCGGAGGTCCCACCAGTCCGTCATTCCCGGGCGCCCGACAGCAGAAGAATGTCAAGACGCTTCTCGTGTGTCTCGGAAATGATTGATCCGGAGATCTGTGGCCGTTCTGCAACCAAGTCCCGACTACTACCACACAGTATAGTACAGTATCCGTTCCGAGGGGTATAAATTATACCCCTCGGATAATACCGCATAATACGTTCTGGAAATGCACATTCCACTACTGAAAAAGCAAAATATCAAGGCGACATGCAATCGACATTGTTCTCTAAAATTATGGGACCGATGGAGAATAGCTGGGATCACATCAAAGTCAAAAGGGCTGGATATCTTTCGGCTCGACAGATATATCCGGATGAGGATCATTCAACCGTAATGCAAAGCAGAGGTCAACAGAGGCTAGAGAGGCCCCTGGCCAGAAGGCAGAGATCTAGGAAGAGGGTGCTCGGTCACTCTATCTCGTCAGGGTGAACTGTTGTTCTCTGCAGTGCTTCGACTCTGATGTAGCCTGCATGCAACCCACGAGGACGACGATTGTTATCCGGTTCCAGAACAAAATTCTACCGCAGGGTCATCGAAAGTGCCCTGGAAATGATGGGAATGTTGGAATCTCTGGAGGTGAGAAGCGATGGACCGAGAAGCCATAGATGTCGGGAAAAGTTGTTTCTGAGATGGCCAGAATCACTCATTCACTTACACTGACCGGTAGAAAATCCATGGACGACGGATGAAGCTCCGACGGTAATGCAGCTCGAAGACTGTAATCCGGTCATCAATGTCAGAAAAGCCGAAAGCGAGGACACACTGCTAGGGAACAAATAACCGACCAACAGCAAACGACAAAATCAGATCGACAACGAGTATCTTGTGTCTCCGATTGTGTCCATGATTTGCCCCCATCCCCCATCGAACTCCCCTGGTTTACATTCTCGCTCGACTTGATGGGCTCTTCCCATCCTTTGAAATCTTACTAGCGCCTTTGTACAGTCTTGAATCAGAAAAGTCTATGATTCACGATGACGTGACTAGAGTTCAATCCACTTCAATCTATGAAACTCTCTTCACTCCAAAGTAAATGTCAGACATACTTTGACACGAGACGCACGTTCAATCCACTTGTCCTCGCACATAGACCAGGTCACCTTTAGACAGCCCTGCATCGAGCTTGGACATTCATGAGGGTCTACATTGAAATCATCATCCACACACACACAGATCAAAGTTTCATTTACAGTTCATTTGACATCTCATGATGTAATTTCTAGTATGTTCTTGTTGGTATCATATGAGGCGAGAGATAATCTTCGCTCTTTTTCAACTTCGGAGAGTAAGGAGAATTGTGAGTGTGATATTAAGTGGTTTCCTAATCAAAGCGAAAATTTTATCATATTCAACGATATTGATGTGCTGGTAAGGGATGGAACATATTACAATCATTACATGTGTCATTTGTAGAAACGTTAATCATGATGATGACATTGTATGTTGAGATTTTATGTGATTCATCAGAATGTTATTAAGAGTAACATTTTGAGTTTGATTGAATTAAAATTCGGATAAAATGATGATGATCAAAGAAAATTCTCTTTGGATTTACATACACAAGGAATGGTCATGGTGAAAACATAGAAAAGTTAGATGTGTAACATTGCTCTTAGGACCAGGAAGATTTACCTTATCCATATGTAGCAGACATCCAACATGACCAAGAACAAGATGATGGATCCAAATAAATCATGAGACGTTTGTACGTCATCGACATTTGCAGAAAATTTTGGTTGCTTGCCATGTAAATGATTGCTATGTCATGTTGATTGTTAGATGTTTAAATTAATCAACTCAGTTTCAGGCCTTTAAAATTATACTTTGACATGATAGAAAATATGAATGAAAATTAAAATATAGCATAAAATGAACCTAATATTTTTTTCGTCTTGATGATTAATAAAATACATCAAAATTTCATGCTTTCACATATGTAAATTTATAAATATATTATTTTATGGCATTTTCTAGAAAATTTATATCAAGTATACATTGGATTTGTAATCTGATGTTGTGAATTTTAACTTATATCTACTATTAGTATAATTGTTACTTTAATTTTCTTAAAATTTGAAAATTATTTTTTCAAATAAACATAATTCCAGATTCATTAAGAATTTAGCATGCTTAAGCAAACATAGCATAACGATGTTATGGATTATATCATAATTTGATACTGATTTTTAGTTTTCAATGTAATTAAGATAGAAAATCCTCTTTTATATTTTTTATCATGATTTATGATTTTAAATACAGAATTATCTCACTAACTGATAAAAAAATTCTTTTTTATTGTAATTTTTTGATTTTTCAAATCTATTTTGTTCAATATTTATGTTGAAAACATCATGATGTAAATGCAGTTACATTTGCACTAATCCATGTTGAAATAATTATTATATCGATATACATGTATATATCACGATATAAGTTGCTTTTGTAATTTATGTAGTGCTCATGAATTGAATTAGTTAGTTTACTGGCATTAACTTACAAAAAATAAATGAAATAATTGGGAAAATCAGTAGACTTATAAAATGCATGTAATAATAGAATTCTAAAAAGTCAGTGATTTATATTCAAGAATTTTATCAAAATGATGATTTTAATCTAATAATTTGAAATAGATAACACACTCGTGATGATAATGTTATGATTTCAAGTGAGTTCCGATTTTAACTTCAGATTGATAAAAAAACATAGTATATTTCTAATTTTTGTTTTTGGATAGATACTGTTGTTTATTCATTTGGATAGGTTTGAATCAAAGATAGAAATTTCATCAAGAGAAATTATGTAGAAAAAGTGACAAGAAAAGTAAGGTCTTGGCTTCTTTAGCCGGTCTCCTTTGTGAGCCTACAAGTAGCGTAAGTAACATAAAGTAACTTGCTTTCTGGTACGTGTGGCCTACGTCTTATAACCTCTAATTATACCTGTCTAACTTTTGAGTTAAGCCACACGCGATAGAGATCCGTTGTTTGACGTCTCTATCATACAAGAAGGACCCTTCTGCCTCCATAAAGCCAGTGAGCCAATCAATGTCAATATAAGGAAACATATATTAACATAATTTGGTTTCATATTTTTAGATAGTATGATGGATAAGTTCAATTTTTCAGTAGAATTTTTAGTAAAATAAATAAATTTTACTATCAAAAAAAATTCTTTAGAATTTTATTCTCAGATGGACCTAACTTTTAAACAAATACAATACGATACAGTATGTATTTCAAAAAATATATTAAAATCATTTCTATTCATTGAAATTTTAAATAGTGAAATAATTTGTGACATTTTGTCAATTAATGTTGTATTGTATTTTGTATTTTTAAATTGAAGGAGTTTTGTAAAAAATGAAAAGATTTTAACCGTCAAAAAGATTTGATTTCAATACATGCGTTTTTTCCAAAAAACACATTATGTGTTTTAGAATATCTAAGTAAAGAAATTTCGATTTTAAATATCATATTTTTCCCGAATTAAAAATCCTACATATTTAATAAGTTTTTCAGTAAAAAAAATTTGCAAGCTTACAAAAGTAAAAAGCATGAGATGGATTCGACCCTAAAAATAATATTCAAGTTACCATTTTGGAAGATCTTTTTTACCTACGTTGTTCTTTGTCATTTTGCTAAAAGTCAAACTTTTGGCAAGGAAGAGGAGTGAAAATATCAATCTTTCAACCTACTTCCGAATCTTTTTATAGACAAGCATCTCTTTATCAACGTTCGCAGTTTTGTACTGCGAATTACATTGTGTGACAATCAAAAAATTAGACAATTTTTTGAAATTTTTTCAAAACTATGAATATGTGTGATGTTAAAATTTTTTTGTTATGGGGGTCATGATATAGATTATTGTAATAAACAGAATATCATTTTTTAGACTATCAGAGAACTAAAAATTAGAATGATTTTATAAACTAATTATATTTATAGGCATTTTTGGAATTCTTATCTAGTACATTATGGAAATCTAAATATTATTTGTGACCTCAAGCTATGGCTTACTCAAATTTGGTTCTAGTTTATTGAAAATCTACAAGACTTGTTCAAATCTAATAGACTATATTTGATGCATGTATTTATGCATATCATAATAAACTTATATAAATCACACATGTAAGTGTTGAGTAGACATTAAATGTTAAGCCTTTGGATCTTAGCCACATACAAGCATATCATGTTTTGAAGTAGATGATTCTTTGCCAATAACTAGACCTTACTGTAATAACCCACTAAAGGCTAAAACTGCAATATAGTGGTAGAAAGGTCGAACCCACAGGGACAGAGGAACACACAGGGTACAAAGTGTCACGTTTAACAGACTATTGAGGAGTTTGAATTCTCAGGCGACTGTCACTCCCAGAAATACTGCAAGTGTCCACTCGGAGCGCACTCGGAGGTCGCACAGTGCAGCGTAAAACACACACACACACACACACCTGAAACTACAGAAACACAACCCAGAGATCCGTTAGGACCTCTACTCAAGATTTCATGGGGAAGGTCTCTCAAGAGTACACTCAGTGAAGCTGCGGGTAGTGACTCCCAACTCCGGCTTTTACAACACTTCTACTAGCTTGCTGCTAGCGTAGGAAACCCGGTTTGGACTGCCTACTTCGGATCGAAGTCACTCATACGCGGTGAACAACACTCTCAACTCACAAAACGCGCAGAGAACACAGGTCCGCACAGAAGGACTCACTAAGAAACATTACAGTACCACACCATAACAGTCTATTGAAGAGTTTGAATTCTTAGGCACTTGTCATTCCGAGAAATACTACAGGGGTTACCCCAAAGGCACCTGCTGCAGCGTAACCTGAATTTACAACCAAGGCTTACACGAAGTAGCAAAACTTCACTTTGGCATTCAGGGGAAAAATCCCGAAGGAGTACAATCAGGAACAAACACTCGAAGGTGTAGGGGCGAAACTATTCAAGTATCTAACTAGTCACTGGCTCTGAGCATCGGCAATCACCCGCAGGTGTAGATCCGAACTACTCAAGTCTCTAACCAATGTACTAGGTCTGAACATTCGGCCGAAGGCCTTCAGCTACAAAATGCAGAACGCCAAGTTGTAGCTCCTCTTGCGTGGTGACAAAACTAAGGACACAAACACGCAGAGAAAATGAGTTCCTGATCTGCACTTCCGAAATTGGGAAAGAATCCAAGGCAAGACGCCTTGAACTACTTTATACCTTCTAAGTCCTAACTAGCACTACACTGCACTACGCTACGCGCCTGCACGGAACCACGCTACACTACACTCCGCGGAACCTGTGCTTCGCCTCGTGCGCGACGGACTGCCGCGCATTAACTCCCTACCCTGCCAGTCTTCCGCTCGACTGCGCAGTCCCAATCGCTGCAACGCCGCGGACACCTCCGCCTCAAGGGTGGACATGGTATCCCGCGCCTTCGACAGAAAGGAGTCTAACTTCTTCGCTACCCGCCGCCGACTCCCACTGTCACCCGTCAACAACCCAGCTGCACGAAGCTCTAACTCACGCAGGGTGAGTTTCTCCTGCGCCGCCACTTCCCAGTGGGCGTAGCCCTTGAGACAGTGGGCGACTCGCCTCGCCATCTCCTCCTTCGTGCGATCTGCCTCTCGCCTGCGAGCGTCTTCAATCACTACCAACTGCGATTCGGCATCCGCACGCTGAGCTCTCAATTCTCCGCACTCCGACTGTAGGATGCGGATTAAATCCTCATCCGCCTGTTGTGCGAGCTGACACTCTGCCAATAACCGCGTCTGTCGCACGAGCTCCTCTGACAGAACCTGATTCTGAGTCTTCTCAGAAATCAGTTCTTATGTGGTCCTCACCACATCTTTGGTAAGCTCCTCCAGTCTCTCCTTCTTCAACTCGTTGTAGGTGTGCTACTTCCGCACGAGATTGTACTGTCCCCGTAAGCAGTCATACTGCTCTCGCAACTCCTTAAGTTCCCGGTCCACCCGAGCTAGCAGCTTGCTGGTGTGGACTTTAGTGCGAGTTCACCTGCGCACTAACTCGACGTAGTACCAAGGCTGGCGAGAATCCGCGTATTTATCAATTTTGCGGTCCAGGTACCTCAGCAGAGGTAC